AACAATACCCCTCCTGATTACGACACCCCTAAGCCACCACGCCTCCTCCAAAAGGATTAGGGTAAGGGTTGCAATTGGGTTGTATTGAAGTTTGGTTTAGGATTGTGGTACATGTATAGTGTTGGGTAAAGTTAAAAATTTGGTTAGTGTACGAATTTGACGCGGAGCAATTGTCGCATGAGCAAGTGTTGTTCAACCTGACCGAGCGTTATGTAGATGATTATTAAGTTTTTAGTTTCTGGCCCACATTCACCCATTTTTATTCATTTTAGCCATCTTCACCACAAGAAAATTCACAAGGGAGCACGTCCTACCCAGCGTTATGGTTTCCAAAGATGTTAAAGATTGATAAATAAAGTGCTATTTATTCACTTATTCCAGAAAAGGGTACTAAATTACGAAGGCTCACGAGAAATTGATTAATCTAGCGAGGCTATTACATGTTATAATTTCTTTCAAAATAATGTTTAACCTTTGCACATTTATAGACACTTCTGTATTGGGGACGCAATGTCAAGAAGCCCATAAACCTTTATGCCAGAAAGCAAAGAAACGAGAATTTCAGGAAAGTTCATTCAACCCAAAGAACCGAAGATCCGATGGAACGAAGTAAGCCACACGTTTCGTGGTTAATCTTTTATTAGGTGTGCCCCTGGCTACGCCTATGGTTCAAAAATACTTTTTCTTTTCCCCGTTATAGGTCTTCAACGGCAATAGTGACCGGGACACTGTGGTAAACAACACGTTGCCCGTGCCTCAAGTTTGTCGCTATATCCGCCTGCTACCTTTGACCTGGAATGAGCATATCAGCCTACGTATGGAGCTCTATGGAACAGCTCTTGTGACCGGTAAGTTTCAGAGCAAACCTTACAAATAATTTGTTTTTATTTTTATTTTTTTAATTCATTTTTTTACCACTTGATCAGTGCGCGTCTCCATGTGTCCTTCATTCACCACAATCCTATTTATTTTGCACGCACTACAGTGCTTGCGAGCCCTCCTCTATCCCAATTCCTTTCAAACTTCTTAGGCGTAATCTCTAGCATCCCATCAAAGTCACTGAATTCTTCTTTTTTCCGAATCACTCATGCGCGACCATCCAGGCGCCATTTTGTCCGTTTCGGGCCGTTTTTTAGCATTAAACTTACCTTACGAAAAAAGCCTATTGTCATTGTCAACCTTTCTTGAAACAGTATGTTAAACAGAAAAAGAAAGAAAGAGATAAAAAAAAAGAAAGAGTGACCTGCCATTGTCCCAATTGAGGTATCAAAATATGCTAATCTGACCGTAATTAAATGCCTAAAATCCCTGAGATTCCGGGGGCTCCGCCCCTTGACCCCACCCGGGGCCCTAAGACTGGACCCTGAATGTTCATTTGACTATAATATAATGCCTTAAACCCCCGATATTCCGGGGCTCTGCCCCTATACCCGCCGGGGCAAGACCCTTAAACCCACGCCAATTTACGCCCTACCTGCATGATCCCACGCTACACTCTTTGAAAAGCGTTCCGCGGGGCCTGTAACATGTAAAGGCCCGGTCTCACCGCCAGAACTTTGCTGGAGCGTTCCTGGAGCGGTGAAAAAAAAAATCATCACCGCTCGTAACCGTTCACCACCGTTTAACAGAAGTTGGCCCCCGTTAAGGCAACGCCGTATACGCTCGGCCACCGCTGATGGTCCCTCCTACCGCTCCGAAAGTTTTGAGCTGCACAAAATATTGCGAGCGGTGAGGAGCGGGCAATTTTCAACTCCGGCAAAGTTCACCACCGCTCCAACAACGCCCAGTCAAAGTTTGGCACCGCTAGACGCAAGTTCGTGGACGCTTTGGTCCGCTAGGCCAACGCAGAAATCTTGAACGCTGGACCACCGCTGCTTCGCCAGCTTTGCCCGGGCGGTGATTAAACGTTGCACAAACTTTGGTGGAGCGATTGTAAGCGTTTTACGAGCGGACACGGGATTGCTGGAACGGTGTCGGGCGTTGAAGCAGCGATCCATTGCGGTGATGAACTTTGGTTTGGCGTTGGTAATGAGGTGTCGGAGCGGGACCAACGCTCGCTACCGCTCTCTACCGTTAAACCAACGCTAAAGCAACGCCGGCTTCAGCGGTGCACCGCTAAGGCAACGCCCGTGTTTTCGATTTGTTTCCCATTTTGTGCACGGTGACGAGCGTTGTCGAAATTCAGATTTTACTTCCGCCCGCCCCTCCCCCCCCCCCCCCCTCCCCAACGTTTTGCTTATTATGCCACTGCCCCTGAGAGGTGAGCCCCTGGAATGTTTGGCACTGATTTCAATTTACAGAAATTCATGAAGTTTACTTGCTTATTCTCTTCTTTATGACAGGCTTCAAACGATCGGCAGTGTACAGACTTGTTGCCAGTGACCGGGCACTCACTGACACTCACTCATCCCACGAAGACGTGACGTCCGTCATTAGGTGCGGTCAACTTTGTTTCGAAGAGGGATCGTGCAATTGCTTCACGTACATCAAACGCACGGGGGTGTGCTTACTGGGACAAACTTTAACCACTGAGATACATCTTGAGGCTGCAACGTTTACCTACTAGCTTTCGATTCATATTCATATTTATTTTTTTATTCCAGAAACCATGCCCACAAAATGTTTAAAGATCTGTAGTGACCAATTGACCAGGCGAGTACGAAGGGGGGATGTTTTGGGGGTAAACCCTTCCCACCTCAATGTTTTTATCAGTAGCGGATCCACGGGGGCGGGGCGGGGACTCGGGGGACTCGACTCCTCCCTCCCCTCTTGGCCTAAAAAATGGTAGCGTTAATTTAACCTTAAAAAAAAGATAGAACACCGCCTTTTTCTTCTTTTTTTGCTCGAGGGGGAGGGGGTGGGTGTGTGTTGAGAAAAAATAACTTTACCCCCTCCCCCCCAATACGACCATACCAATTCAGCTCCACTTTCAACAAAATATGGTGACCATTATTGATTAATTAATTAATTTTAACAATACACGGGCCGGCTGGTCGTGCATAATTTTTTATAGCCAACAAAAAGCCACTATCGGCATTGCCTGGAATAAAACGTGTATACGGCGCTATTTCGTCTTTTTAACGCCTGATTTAAATTTTCGAATATTTGTGGTGGTACAAAAATATTAGAAATGGTTATATTTATGGATATTTCAGCCGTCTCTGAACCGATTTTGATAAAACAAAGTTGATTTTGTCATTTAAACTGTATGTTCTTTCAAATTTGATACTCAGTTTTTCATTATCTCACAACAAAATATTGTGTGTAGCGCCCTCTGCAACAGAACTCAACTATCCCTTAACCTCGAGGTGAGTTTCTTACTCCGGCCTTGAGACGAACCCGTTTATTATTGTATTGCTTATCGTAATTTATAATAATAATAATAATAATAATGGTGGCTTATAGGAGACTAATTGTTTCTGTTTTATCCAGTGATCACTTCATGTTATAGTTGATTTATATTGACGTTTAAGAGAGTTGTTCGCTCCATTTAATAGACATTTAATTATTGTGTGTAAATGTTTTCGGCCTGAACAATTATATGAACCTTGGTCATTTTTGTTGCTCATCTATATAAATTGTTGATATTAATTCTATATTAACCTTATTGTGTGAGAGTGTTTTTTTTCCTAGTGATTTCGTTAAGTTAAAAGGAACAAGCTCTTCGGGGAGTTCTACAGATCTCAATAAATATCTGAAGGAAACCAGTAAATCGACCGAGAGCGCGAAAGAAAACATCTGCGAAATTATAAAAAAAATTCAGAACAAACATCTTGAGAAAAATTTAATTATCTATATATTATAAATATTTGAATCGCCAAATTGCCTTAAAAGTATAAAAACATTCATACAGTTAACAAGGAATTAATTCATACCCCTACCAATTGTTTTAATCTTTAAAAGTTTGTGAAAAATTGATTTGTTTCGATTTATGTTTCTTGAGAATATGGAATAAGCCTGAAGCTGACATCTAAAACTGTTCAACAAATTAGACCTTAATTTACCCTGTCCACCTTTCATTCTTTAGTTACGAAAAATATATAGCCTAAATAAATGAATATAAAAGTCAAGTAAGTATGCCCATAAGGCTGCTGACAGTATACAAAATGATGCGCAGGTATTAGTGGGTCGGTAGGAATTGTGTGCACAAGGTAACTTTGGGCATGGTTTAAACACACAAGGCGTAGCCGAGTGTGTTTCAGACCTGCTAAAAATTACCACGTGCACAAAATTTCACCGACCCACAAAATCAACCTGCGTATCATCTGTTTTATAGAATGGACTTTATTTTTTTAAATAAAAAATTACCGGACGCATGAATTCATTTTACCAGACGCATTGAATATTTTACCGGACGCATGAAACCAAATGACCTATTTCTTCATGCCTGAGATGCAATTTTGTTTGTCTACACAGGCGCGGATCCACGGGGGGGGGGGGACGAAGGGCGACGGGCCCGGCCCCCGGACTTTTTTTGATTATTATTATTATTATTTGTTTAATAATTAAAATTTAAAAAAAAAACTGTGCTTAATATAATTTTAAAACATATAGTGCTCACACTACCCCCCCCCCCTCCCCCTCCCTACTGAGCGAAAATGCTGGATTTGCCAATGGTAAAGCTATGATTACAAAGTGACATAGTATCAGTGACCTTTTGATACGTTCTGTCAGGCTCATATACATGTATATGCGTACTGCATCGAAATGGCAAAATGAAAAGAACATTTCCCTATAATTTGGTTGCCGTCAAGAGCAAAACTCTCTGGCAATGCACAGTATTTTCCAAGTCCCCCCCCCCCCCCCCTCTCTCTCACTCTCTCTTTCTCTCTTTCTCTCTCTCTCTCTCTCTCTCACACTGTCTAACTCTTTCTCTCTCTCTCTCTCTCTCTATCAGTCCTTATCTCCCCCCTTCTCTAGTTTCCTCTGTCTCTCTCACTCTCTAATTATTAGCCTATACAGTGTGAGTCAAAAGAAATTAACACCTAGAAAATTGCTAATTATTTTACAAATCATTTATGCGCAGTAAATTATTATACTTCTCATGAAAGAGTGTTTATCCCGAATCCTTTAGCATCTTCTTCGTGTGGTATGTGTTCACGCTTGGATGAACAGGAGGCAACTCGCTTTTAGCAATTACTTTTCTCTTTTTAATCAAAGTTTTAAAGTCGTGCAGTATATAGGTCGGTCGGCCGGTCAAACGTTTGAACAAGTTTGAGGTAGCTAAGAGGAAATGTTATAACATAAAATTGTAATATGATAAGAAAATATCTTTTTACATTAATCTTAAATTTTTAGTAATTTCTACGAAATTAATTCTAAATACAATATTTCTGTACATATTCTTAAAATCGGACAGTCTGTTTGTTCAATAGTGGAGCGTCAAATTTCAATTTATATCAATTCTTTACAATTATGTTACGAAACGAATGAACAAAATAACCTAAATTTGTGAAATGGAAAAAACAAACAATATTTTCCCATTTTTTTCCTCTACTATTTTGTTTCGTTTATATAGAAAATTAAGGTGAGTTGTACGAGGTGACGATCTAAGTTCACACTTCACGCACGATGAATCTGTGGATTCAGATATGACTCGGCAAAACCGCGGCGGTTATTTTATAATGACGTTAAGTATACCTTCACATTTCTGTATCTATAAACCACAGAGCTCAGTAAATACGCGCAAGTCCTTCGTTGCGCGCAGTTGCCTTTCAAATTTACACGTGAACCGCGGCGGCTTTTTTTTTGCTGCGGTTTACCGCGGCCATAATTATCTGAACAAGCCTTTAGTGGTGTTTTAAAGTTAAACTAACAACATTTTCATCACGTCTTTATACATTTTGGAATGTGTTTCTTCATATAGTTAAACACGTGCATAACTATCTCACTTCGGTATTAGATAGTTACGAGCATCTTTAAAAGTCAATAAATTGTTTTGGCTCGTAGCAGTATATAATGGAAAAGTCCTCTTGTTGATGCGGACTGGTGTGGGAAGTATGTCTTTAATATGTCTTCTCCTCTTGTCTGATAGCGAAGAAAAACTTCTGGAAGAACAGGTTGACTTTCACTATATAAAACAAAAACAAAAAATGAGAAGTAGTTAAATAATTATGTATGAATATAGTTATACATATTCATTAAAAGAAAAGAGGTTTATCTGAGATTAACATTGTCTTTATCATGTTTGTCTCTCTTCTTTTTTTCTTTTCTTTTTTTTTTTTTGGGGGGGGGGGGGGGGGGGGGGGGGGGGGGCTCTTTGGTCCGAACGTTTCGATTTTTTAGATCCTTGTAGGCAAATCCCAAATATTTATACCTGTAAAAATGATGTCGGATGTTTCTTGGCTAGCGTGTCGGAAAATTTGATCTGATACGCCCTGTGTACTTTCAAATGTTTGACGATAAATGGTTTGCTTTAATTACAATCAAACAACAATTACCAAATCCACTAAATATCAAATAGGGCCAACACATAACATTTCAACTAAATAAATAGATATATGGATAGAAAAAATAGATACATGGGTAAATGAATAGATAAACAAGGATTAGTAAACATCAAATTCAAAAAGCACAAACAAATGAAAAAGTAGATAAACGAAAAATGTTTTAATAAATAAATGAAGTGAAAAAGATTTTTTTTTTTATGAGTAAATAAACGAATAAATGAATAATCAAATAAATAAATGAATTACAAAATAAACGAATAAATAAATTAATAAATAAGTAAACAAATATATATGAGTCAATAAAAAATAATCAGGGCGTGACTTACGGATAACATTGATTAACCACGGTGGTTTGTTTGTCCACCAGACACAGAGGTAATAGATGGGTACCCCAGCCAGGGTAGCGATCACACCCATGAAAGAATAGAAGGGCTGCGTGTAACACGTCATCACCATGATGAACAGCGTGAAGAGGATGAAGATGATGGTTAATGGGAGAGGGATCTGTAGGAGAAGATGATAATAATAATACTAATAGTGGGTTCTTGTATAGCGCTCATGTCTGTCAGAATTGACACTTATGGGGCTCCCGATTATTCCCTGGCTTTAGCACGGCTGCCATACGGCGCTCTAGCATTTCAAGGAATTAATTCCTGCCAGGTACTCATTTACCTCTAGGTTGAGTGTGGCAAATGTAGTCTTGCCAAAGGACATTAGTGCCGCGGTGGGACTCGAACCGCGGACCTTGTGATCGACAGTCCGGTGACATATCCACTCGACCACGACACCTCTATGGTGAGTAAAACTCGTTAGGCCTAGCTATTCCGGTGGCTTCTTGTATTAAACGGTCAGGTCCGTCACACTGTGACACACTCCTGAGGCTCCAACATTGTTTAGCCCGGTCATAACCGGCGGCCAAATATGTATATAGCGCTCTAGCAAATCGGGTAACCAGGCTTATCAACACCTGGATGGAGAGTGGCACATGTGGAAGAATGTCTTGCCAAAGGACGTTGGTGCCGCCATGGGATCCGAACCCTCAACCTCCTGATTGAGAATCAAATGAATGATGTACCACAACACATCCACGAAATTTCTGGAATATTCTAAAATGTCGGTACATTGGGGGAGGGCTATATAGAACGCCCTCGCCATAATGAGCAACCCGAAGAAGGTGAAGAGATTAGCTAATGGTAGAAGACTCTCAGGAGAAGAAAGAGGGATGATGCTTGTTGGTCAGAAATTTTGTAACTCCAGTGGTTGTTAATGAAATGAAAGCAGGGATGGGTCCCGAATCCGAGAAAATGTGGGAGGGAGAGTTCGATAAACTTGTTTTCTCGTCCATTGCCGCCCAATCCACCCCACCCCCCCCCCCACACACACACACATGAACCAACATATACTAATAAACAGCCTTGTATAAATTAGCACTCTATTTTCCGACTAACAAAGAGATTCGATCATAAGACCGGTGGCGCCCTCCCCCCCCCCAACAAAATAATCGTTCCATTAAAATCTCAATTATGGATCATGTAGTGACCCCAACCCCACCTCCTCGTTATCTGGCCCTCACCTTAAAAGGCCTTCTCATGTTCGGGTACTTCCAGCGGTAGTATGGTATGATGGCGATGGTGAAGGCGGAGAAGAACCAGTCAATGAATGTCAGATACTTTATCAGGATGAGGGCATCGCCCACCAGGATGAACAGCATACTGAAGGGAAGCTAAAGAAACGAAATAAGAATTTAGAATTTAGAATTTAGAATTTAGAATTTAGAATTTCTTAGCTACATATTTGACTATTTATTGATTTCTAAGCATACTTTTTTCATGTTTTATTGTAAAACAGCATCTGAGGAACTAACATTTCAGCAAGCTCTGCTTCAAGTTAGTTCCTCTTTTCTCGTGCTATTTCCATTATATTTATCGTTTCATTGCATATTGTTGTGATATAATTATTCTTGTATTATGTTTTGCTTGAGAAATAAAATCATTTGATCAACAACAACAACAAAAAGAAAGAAAAAGAATAAAAATAAATTGGGAGAACCCACATGTTTGTATACTTGTAATAGCAATGATAATACAAACACTCATATTTATTTAGGGGCGTCAAAACAAATTCTAGCATAGCACTTGGAAACTCAGCCATCAGGAAACAAAACAAGTATAAGTACAATTATAATTACGTGAATGAAACACCTCTTCTCACTATTCAATATAAGCGAGGTTAATAATTATGTATCTAAAAAGGCGGAGGAGGGGTGAAAAGGAGCAAACATCCTATACCCCACAGGTGAGGTATTTTGATTATTAATCTTAAGGGATAATATCGAAGGGTTATAACACGTATTAGCATGTAGACGGGGGCACCTTCAGATTTCAAATCAACCGGGGGAAAAAAGGGGGGAATCTTCGGTCTTTTTGGGGTCCTCCTTTTTTGGACTATTTTTTTACTGCTTGTTTTGATTTTTTGGAGGGCAAATAATTATGTCAGCAAAGTTAATTCGACACCCCTTTCAAAATGATCTACTAGAGACACTCCTGCACGTACGACTCGGATTCAATTCTTAAAAATGTTATAATCACCGATATTGCGATGGCGGGAATCGGTGTAAGGTGGTTAATATGAATCATAGATAGAAATTCAGGTAGGAGGCCCTCTCGTGCTGCTACAAAGAAAGTTCTAAGGTGTGTCAAAAGAGAAGAAATATTAAGGATAATAATGCAATTGAAAAAAAAATGTTATGCATAGAATATAATTAAAAAATGAATGATGGCATTAAAACAAAATATAGCTGACAATTAAGAAATATGCAGAAGAAGGGCTATCACGGCAAGCCCTTGCTTGATAGCATGATAAAATGATGATAAATGTAAGAAATGGGGAATGGGAGAAAGGAGAGGGGTAACATGAACAAATGACAGACCCCACCCTTTTTTATAACTTCCCTTCACTCAACTAGCCCCCTTTTCGGGTTTAGTGCAAATAGAGTCCGAGTGCCCCCCCCCCCCCCCATCTAAATTTCTATCAAAGATTCATTGAGAGGAGAAGATGGAACAATGGCAGACCCCTCCCCCCCCTTTTTTTGGGGGGGGGGGGAGAATACCCTCCCTACACTCAACAAGCCTTTTTCTTCAGATTTCATCTTAATCATGCCCGGTGCCCCTCATCTCCCCCTCCACCCATTAATAATATGTATGTGTCTTTTTGTAATCTCCGTGATTTTATATTTACACCAGTTGAAGAAGTCTGTACTTGGAACCTATTTTTCATAGCGCTCAGAGAGAGACTTCGGTGGTAAACACTTTATATAAAGCACCGTTTGTATTATTATTATTATTATTAAATCCGTGCCCCGTCGATGACTGGACCCTCCTTATACCACTCGGTCTACACATACCTGGTCCTACCAAAGACTGCTCCATTAAGGTTTCCAGCGGCAGAAAGAGCCACGAACAGCCAGATCAACCAAGACCAGTCTCCTAAAGCTTTCGTACCAAAGTCCTACAGTGGAAAATTAAAAAAATAAATCTGATAGAGAGGGAGAGGAAAGCTTTGGAGCTATGTTAAGCCCCCTCAGATGATGTGACAAAGATAACTGATCCACGAATACAACAACAAATAATATATTGAATATATAAAGCAATTTACAAAATACACACAGCTACTAACTGAGAGAGCTATTTGGGAGTACTATTTAGGAGTTGAAAAAAAAATGTAATTTTTTGTTCAGAATTTTTTTTTCTTCTTTCAAATCTTAATTTATTGAAAACAAAATAATTTAAATCTTTTTGTTAAAATTTACTTCTTTTTTTTTGTTCTCTTTTTCCCAAAAATGTTTTATCTTATTTTTATATTATTTGTTATAAAATAAATTTTTGATGCAGGATATAAAACAAATATACCATGCCTTCTATTCGAGGTACTGGTTAAAACTATAGGCCTCGGTGACTCCAAAAGAACCATTTGCTTCAGGGCTGCGCCCTCAGCAAATAGTATTATTGAAGTCACCTCTTGCGCATAGTTTTAACTAGAACCTCCAAAGACAGTGTATATTTGTATACTAGTATACTACTGCTACTACTGCTACTACTACTACTATTAATGATGATAATGATATTTTTCCATATCTTTTTCTCTCTCTCTTTCTCTCTCTTTCTCTCTCTCTCTCTCTCCCACCCTCTCTCCTCACCCTCTCTCCCCACCCTCTCTCCCCACCCTCTCTCCACACCCTCTCTCCCCTCATCTCTCTCTCTCTCTCTCTCTCTCTCTCTCTCTCTCTCCGCCGCCCCCTCTCTCTCCCCCACCCTCTCTCCCCTCATCTATCCCACACCATCTACCCTTCTCTCTTTCTCTCTCTCTCTCTCTCTCTCCACCCTCTCTCCTCACCCTCTCTCCCCACCCTCTCTCCACACCCTCTCTCCCCTCATCTCTCTCTCTCTCTCTCTCTCTCTCTCTCTTAAAATATTGTTTACTCTCTCTCTATCTTACTTACAGCTGCTACTGCGTCTGATGAGAGTACTTCCTGAGGAGTAAGCAGAGAGAAGTAGCCGATGTTTGCGAGGAGATAGATGACGATGACGGTCGACATCGAGATCACCACACTGCGAGGGATCGTTCTAAGAAACACATACCATGAAAGCAATGATTACTCCTTTTTAGTAGTCAGAAATCAGAAAAGTTACAGGGTCCACTTGTCTATTGAATTTTATGATGATGGCGATGATGATGATGATAATTATTACGATGATGATGATGAGGAGGATGATGATGATGATGGGGATAATGATGACGATGATGATGATGACAGTAATGAGGATGATGATAATGATGACGATGATGATGATGACAGTTCATAATGATGAGGACGATGATGATTATGATGGTGATTTCGGTAGTGGTGACGAATTTAATGATAATGATAATGATGTTGGTGCTAGTGGTGATGATGATGATGATGATTGTGGTCATGATAATGATAATGATGATGATGATGGTGATAATGATAATGATGATAATGATGAGGATGATGATGATAGCACGAAGTAAAATCAACTTACTTTTCTGGTTGCTTTACTTCTTCTGTCATAGAAGAAATGTAGTCCCTGAATGAAGAAAAGAAATATCAGAGTCTTACGATCATTATGTTGATTACCAGACTTGAAGGCACTAACGGTCATTATAAGGCCAAATAAAAAACAAACATTTTTAGCGTCCTGTTTTTTGAAAAATAGGAAGGAGGAGGAGGCCCTTTTTTTGCTCCTTTTTTTCCGCTCAAAATGGCCGCTCGGTACATTTTCCCTGACAGTCGGGCTATTTTTCAAGATGGCCGCCGACATTTTTATTTCTATTTTTTTTCGAATCAGGAATAGATCCATTTTAGCAGTGCTTTTCATGTTTTTTTTTCTAAAAAAAATGTCAACAAAAAAAATTTAAAAAATTAAAAAATGTCAAAAAAAAAAAAAAATGGGAGGCGGCCCCCCAAAAGAAAGCGGGCGAGGACGCTAAACATGTATATTTGTTTAATGGCCTAATTGATAAAGAGAAGAAAGAGATGTTTGAAATATTTGGCCTGATGAGGTTACATTGAAAGAGTTGGAGGGAGGGATTTAAGATGAAAGGAAATGGGATTGAAATGAATCAAGGTTCAAAGTCTACATTTACAAATTTTACCAGTGGCGTAGCGTCAGTTCATCAATTATTGATGGAGCAATAGAACTATTGGGGGCGTCGGTCTTACTCAGAAAATGAAATACGAAATTACAAGGCTACTGATTAGGTGAGGGTCCGTGAGGTTGTCAAGGTGTTTTCATTTTTGTATTTGTTGACCACTCGATGGAAGGCACGTACCCCCATGCCCCATGACTCTGACCACAGCAATCAAATAATGATTAAATCTATATCTATTTTTTTTTATTAAAGACGGGAACAAATCTCTACAAAATGTGGAATAAATTCGAAAACTTTTACTAAATTAAGATACGGGAAAGAGCAACGTCGATCTGGCGCTGCTCATTGGCTGCCGGGCTCACGATCAATTGGGCAAAAAGAATTTCCGTTTCGGTTTAATAAAATTTGGAGTGGACTATTAGGCTATTATTATTATTAAAAAGCATAAATACAATGAGTTTTGTTTTCTATGACATTTCGGAAGAATCTTACCAGCCCGAATATGCAAAGATACCCGAATAGACGGCGAGAGGGAACTTTGTTATACTGATTTCTGCGCCTTCAAACGTATTTCGGAGGTTCGATACATTACCTGCAAAATAAGAATGAAACGAAAGATAAAATAGTTCTCAAGTGTATACGTGTACGGTATACGGGGATGTGCCGCTCTAATGCGTTACATTTTTGGAAAAAAAATGCCTAAACATGGGGTAAGATTTTGTGCTGCAAAATTCAAGAAAGGTCAGCAACGGATCGGGGAAAATACCGTGAGGCTACACCCCCAGAATTAGAAGATTGCGAATATTTTCAGTAGAAGAGATCCGTATTCAAACAACGCCCATGTTCAAACTTTTTTACTTTCTCATTTCGTAGGAACCGAGCGAGAAAATTGTTAGACATAGCATTTTAGTGCACCTGTGATCACAGAGGAAGCTCTCTCTTTCTCTTAAGAAGAAAAAGTTTAACAAAACACTACTATGAGTTTATATCATTCCTCACGTTTTTAAACTTTTCAAACGTTCGCGAGTATATTCTTCAGGTGTGGGTCGGACACTGATCCATCGAACTCAATCAGAGCCCCTATGAGGAGGGATTAATAAACCCCTCAGATAATCTGATAAGCTCCGTAAATACCTCATTGGAGAACCCATAATCACTCCTCGAAGTTCGAAGGGGAACTCATCGGCCACTTTTGAGGCCCTTACTCCTTTTTATAAAAGAACCGGGTTGTTAAACAAAATTCGTACCCCCAAGATTTCATGCTAGGAAACAGCTGCAATTACTCGCATTAACCTAATCTCCTTCAAACCGTTATATCTATCACTCTACTCATTTGCTTTGAACAAAAATCAGCTTATAGCACTTCAAGTATTTAACCTATCGCACAATAATTATGGTTCGATCTGGGTCGTGTACATCGTGGAAGTTCCTGGTTCGATGAAGACCAGATTTTTGAATGGAAGAGTCATTACAAAAACGAGCATATTTGATTGAAATTCAAAAAAGTAGACAAAAATGAGAGCTGAAATAAATATTGTGATTATTGTAAACAATCCATTAGGATATTTGAACCTTCAGAAAAGTTGTCGGAAGGGTATGGTCGACCTTTGGTCAACTTTTCTAAGCGTCCATAAATCAAAAGTGATACAAAAACAATAGCACTCTCAAAATATTATAGTATGAACAATACACGCACCGGAGGTTTGTGCAAGCATTCTCAAGATTGGCCTCAAGTTTATGTGAGTAATTCAGTATGGTAACCTCCGTTTCGGAAAACACTGATGAGATTTGTTTTCTTCTCTGACAAACTTTTTTTTCTTGGATAAGTTTTCTCGTTTTAAACGGTTATTTGAAAATTGACACAGGCCGCAGGGGAATGCTAATAGTAACATTACAGTACAAGAAGTTAGAATCTCCACATTGAAGACTGGGGTTGTTCAATATATCCCAAATATGTTGTGTATGTGGGGTATGAAGACAAAATTAGGAGAAAAATTCCTCCTCATCGTAAAAAAAAATATTCATTTTATCAAAAAATGACAATACCAAATATCTAAACAAAATTAATGTAAAAAGTACACGGAAACAATAAAAGTAATTGATTAAGTATGCGAATATGGATGATTTCACATTAATCTAACTGTTCGGAAGACGGCCTGTGGTCTTTCATATCAAAACTTATAAACCGTATTAATAACTGTACTGTCAATGTGACTGAGCAGCAGGCTTTTCAAAAAGTATCGTCCCATTCCTTTTGTACAAAGTTTGGGCTGCATGAAGCAACAAGGAGATTTTGATAGCTTTTAAAGATCCTGGTGCTCACTCATCCATGGCAGAAAAAAATATGATTAGAGTTTTGCTAGAAATAATAAAATCCGACGAACTCGATCTTTACTATGAAAAAGTTTGAAAGGAGGTATTGGCTATTTAAATTCAAAGTGAAATTCGCATTTGTTCCCTTCTCATTGAATATATAAACAAATGCAATAGTAAAGTAAACCCGGAAGGCAAATGCTTGTGTTGGGAATGCCAAACATAGACTTATTAATTAGGAGTTACCACCGTTTGAAATCTGTGCTGCTCTGTATAATGTCGTTTACGATGGGCAAGACCTAGAAACAGAACAACAACAAAGATACAACCACACACAAAAAAAATACCCTTCATGATGGAGACGAGACCGGTTATGATTTTTTTTTTTTAATTAAGAGCTATCAAAGTTGGTATTTTTTGTTGTTGATACGCATTGTATAACGTCTTTTGCGATAGGCAAGACCCCGGGGCAAGACCTATAAATTAAACAAAACAAGAGATGTTAACACAACTACAACACCAACAAAATCATCCCCAACAACAACAATAACAGCAACATACACGATCGCAACTATTTTTGAAAGAATAAAATCAAGGGGAATTTCAATATATTCCATTGTCATATTGTGTATAACATAAAAATCATGTTCGGATTACGTCACACGTCTTTATCATATTCGCGTATTTCAAAATGTGACGCATAAGGCTAGTGAAATTGGCTTAGGTTGATTTTTCGAAAGTAGTCGCAATTGCGTCAACAACAACAACAACACAAATTAATGAGCGAACAAACAAACAAACAAAAATGAACAAACAATCACTGACCCTTGAGGATGAAGACGAGACCGGTGACGATAAGGATGATGAGACCTACGATCTTGGCGACGGTGTAGAAGACTTGAAGTCGAGCTGTCCACTTCACGCTGATGCAGTTGATGAAGAAGGTTAAAACTGGGGAAAGAAAGTCACAAAGAGTAATACAAAAACAATCATTAGTATATCAACCCGCAGTGGGGAATATAGGAGGGGGCCCGGGGGGCACAATCGATCCGTGCTCCCCTTCCCCCTTCCCAACCCAAGTGACATACCTTTCTTACATTAGTTTGACATCTTGATGACTTTTAATGTATTTTTTTTTATGTTTAAATTATTTGTATTTTTCTTTTGGAATGTTAAGCCCGAATCGATCTCAATAGGGATCCTTGATACATACTGTCACCTATTATGTTTTCCTTGGTGATTTCTAAGCAGCATGGACCCTGAAGATTATCGTTTGAAACCAATTGGTAAGTGTATTAAACCTTGTTTCGTCAAGGACTCCCCCACTCCCACCTTCCCTGCTTGAGGAAAGGAAGGGGGTTTATCGGTATCAACCCCCCCCCCCCCACTCCATCATAAAAAAAATGCTCTTAACGGAGTGTATGATTCTTGTACAAATCATTTAACCCTTAAAAGATATTATGGTTTCATAATAAGCCCATTTGATACCAACATTTTACTGAAAGTGCACTATGTTTAAGGTACTATGTCCCTTTTGCAGCCAACCTCAAATTCTGTAGAACTTTGCAGGAATTATGAATATGTCATGTATGTCCTATCTATGAAATTTAAACGTTAGCAGTGTCCTCATATTCAAATTATGCAAGGTAACCCGTTTACTTGCTAGACTTCACTGTCAGACACTATTGAGTGACTGACTGGCTTTTTTCCTTCTTTGGTAATAACATACATGAAAAGAGTTGTAAAGGGTACATGAGCATTTGTCTACATCAATAACCCACTTCTTGTGATGGCCAAGATTAAACTGATTGAATCTTTGCGCAGCATAAAACGTATGACCATTCGGTACAATTTTCTGAAAATCAAGACTATTACTTTTGGGCTCTATAGCCCTAAAGTCGATTTGACAACTAATAGTCGTTATTTTCCCACTTCAAGACATTTTCAAGCCCCACCTCTTTTAGGGAAGTTCTAAATTAGTATTATCTTTCAAATGCAGTTGGAATTTAACTTTTTCATTTTTTGGCCTGCAAATGGGACATAGTACCTTTAAAGGATTATTCAAATAGATAATCTCAGTTGGCTTCCATTTACTCACTTGTCGGCTGGTATAACTGTAATATTGGGGGGAAACTGGCATCGCTCTTTAGATTGATGAAACTTGAATTAACATGCATGGTCATCTATTATGGGGAGGCTGTTGGAAGGAATCATACCATCTTATTTGCACGTCTCCCCCTCCCCCCTCTCATGTCTTGTCCACTCTCAGTTATCCCTTTTCCCTCTCATTTTGATCATAATAGAACCTGGGGCACGTGCCCAAAGCCCCCTTCGACTAGACCACTAGATTCGCCTCTGGTTGAACTCACATAGGACACATATAGCAATCAGCACCACGGCGTTCCGCGGCACTGAGACTTCGTCGCACCCGAAGAAGGGCACGGTGAGATAGTTGGCGACGGTGAGGGCCTGGACGGCGTTGGACGAGGGCCCGATGAGGAAGAGCAACGTCCACATGCGGAGGAAGGCGGGCACGGGACCGAAGGCATCGAGGATGAAGGTGAACTCGCCGCCTGACTTGGTGTAGGAGGTGATGAGCTCGACGTAGCAGAGGGCGCCAACCATGGAGATGAGCCCGCAGAAGGTCCAGAGGATCATCGCCCACCAACGGAACCGTTCACCCCAAGCAGGACACCCTAAGAAATACCACAAACCCTTTTTTTAATAAAAAAAAAAACATGTCGAAGGAAAGCCAACGCCCATTGTACACGCGGTGTCAGTATGATTACGTTATCACTTGCGTTAATCGAGCCTGTCAAGGCTATTATACGAATAATACACAGCAGTGAGGGCATTAGTAAGAACTACCCACACAAGGTACATGTATACCTTAGAAACAGTCTAACACGCTCGAGGCGATAGCTGAGGGTGTTTGGACTGTTTTGAAGGTACCAAGTGTCGGTAATTTTACTAATGCCCGAAAAAATGATGTGTATTATTTGTTTTATAAGATTATGTTTATTTTTTTTATAAAATGATGTTTGATAATATGATTTTATTAATGACCGTCATTAGCATTTGATAATGACCGGTCAAATACGGGTTAGGCAAAATAAATGCCTGATCATGTGTA